TACACAGAGCCTGATCTACACAGAGTCTGATCTACACAGAGTCTGATCTACACAGAGCCTGATCTACACAGAGCCTGATCTACACAGAGCCTGATCTACACAGAGTCTGATCTACACAGAGTCTGATCTACACAGAGCCTGATCTACACTAACTCAACACAGAGCCTGATCTAGAGTCTGATCTACACAGAGCCTGATCTACACAGAGTCTGATCTACACAGAGCCTGATCTACACAGAGTCTGATCTACACAGAGTCTGATCTACACAGAGTCTGATCTACACAGAGCCTGATCTACACAGAGCCTGATCTACACAGAGTCTGATCTACACAGAGCCTGATCTACACAGAGCCTGATCTACACGGAGTCTGATCTACACAGAGCCTGATCTACACAGAGTCTGATCTACACAGAGCCTGATCTACACAGAGCCTGATCTACACAGAGCCTGATCTACACAGAGCCTGATCTACACAGAGTCTGATCTACACAGAGCCTGATTTACACAGAGCCTGATCTACACAGAGCCTGATCTACACAGAGTCTGATCTACACAGAGCCTGATCTACACAGAGCCTGATCTACACAGAGTCTGATCTACACTAACTCAACACAGAGCCTGATCTACACAGAGCCTGATCTACACAGAGCCTGATCTACACAGAGTCTGATCTACACTAACTCAACACAGAGCCTGATCTACACAGAGCCTGATCTACACAGAGCCTGATCTACACAGAGCCTGATCTACACAGAGCCTGATCTACACAGAGCCTGATCTACACAGAGCCTGATCTACACAGAGCCTGATCTACACAGAGCCTGATCTACACAGAGCCTGATCTACACAGAGTCTGATCTACACAGAGCCTGATCTACACAGAGTCTGATCTACACAGAGCCTGATCTACACAGAGTCTGATCTACACAGAGTCTGATCTACACAGAGCCTGATCTACACAGAGTCTGATCTACACAGAGCCTGATCTACACAGAGTCTGATCTACACAGAGCCTGATCTACACAGAGCCTGATTTACACAGAGTCTGATCTACACAGAGTCTGATCTACACAGAGCCTGATCTACACAGAGCCTGATCTACACAGAGCCTGATCTACACAGAGCCTGATCTACACAGAGCCTGATCTACACAGAGTCTGATCTACACAGAGCCTGATTTACACAGAGCCTGATCTACACAGAGTCTGATCTACACAGAGTCTGATCTACAGAGAGTCTGATCTACACAGAGCCTGATCTACACAGAGTCTGATCTACACAGAGCCTGATCTACACAGAGTCTGATCTACACAGAGCCTGATCTACACAGAGCCTGATCTACACAGAGCCTGATCTACACTAACTCAACACAGAGCCTGATCTACACAGAGCCTGATCTACACAGAGCCTGATCTACAGAGAGTCTGATCTACACAGAGCCTGATCTACACAGAGCCTGATCTACACAGAGCCTGATCTACACAGAGTCTGATCTACAGAGAGTCTGATCTACACAGAGCCTGATCTACACAGAGTCTGATCTACACAGAGCCTGATCTACACAGAGTCTGATCTACACAGAGCCTGATCTACACAGAGCCTGATCTACACAGAGCCTGATCTACACAGAGCCTGATCTACACAGAGCCTGATCTACACAGAGCCTGATCTACACAGAGCCTGATCTACACAGAGCCTGATCTACACAGAGTCTGATCTACACAGAGCCTGATCTACACAGAGCCTGATCTACACTAACTCAACACAGAGCCTGATCTACACAGAGCCTGATCTACACAGAGCCTGATCTACACAGAGCCTGATCTACACAGAGCCTGATCTACACAGAGCCTGATCTACACAGAGTCTGATCTACACAGAGCCTGATCTACACAGAGCCTGATCTACACTAACTCAACACAGAGCCTGATCTACACAGAGCCTGATCTACACAGAGTCTGATCTACACAGAGCCTGATCTACACAGAGCCTGATCTACACAGAGCCTGATCTACACAGAGTCTGATCTACACAGAGCCTGATCTACACAGAGTCTGATCTACACAGAGCCTGATCTACACAGAGTCTGATCTACACAGAGCCTGATCTACACAGAGTCTGATGAACACTAACTCAACACTGTGTTCATTATCACTTTGTAACAAACATCTGAAGCGTGAGGCGTCTGACCTTGGAGGTGAGCTTGAGCGTGTCAATCTCGTCGCGCTGCTTGCTGAGCGTGTCGTTCATGCTGCACAGGTGGTCGCTCATCATGCTCAGCTGATCTTCGTAGCTCCTCTTCGTGGTGCTGAGCTCATCCTGATCAACACACCAAGAGAGACGTCACCAAAACTACAGACTTCAGAAGGACTGACTTAGCCGAGCACGTCTGTTAGTACCTGTAGGCGAGTGATGTTCTGATTAGCCAGCTTCAGTTCCTCTGTCAAAGTCTCACGTGATTTTTCTGCGATGGTAAGGCGTTTGGCAACAGCTCGGCACTGAAAGAGAAAACAATGACATGCTATGTAATTAGAATTTTCCCGATATTTTTCCCGATATTTAAGCATTTTCCCATAATTGGTATCGGTTTTGTAATATCGGATTCACCATTTTGAGAATTGCACGCAAGACCGCCATTAAACCACAGCGTCTGACGGGAGACGAGTCAACAACGGTGTTTAAGGGTAAAATAACTTGCATCCCTTAATTATAAACTTTATTTAATATAACAGCCAATAATGCACAAATGAGATATGCACAAATATGATATGTTACATAAATGCTTATTTAGTTTAAACTGGCGCTAAAAAAATAGAGACGAAGTCACGTAATCCGCCAAATCCTGTCTCAATAAAGACGTAACTTTACATTAATTAAATAAAACAGCCATAATTGAATGTATGTTTGAAATAAAAGTGCTGAATTTAAGTTTCTCTATGTTGTCTGCTAATCATTAGTCTCGTGCAGTCACGTTCATAGTGCCGTTCACTCACTGGGTTGATGTTTCAGCATGGCCACCGTATGCAGTTTTTAACACGCCCCACTTTTTTTTAAAACTCCTTAAATTATATTAACATCTACTATATTACTTTTATTTTGCTAAAAAAAAACATAAATAATTACAACTCTGTGGGAATTCATTATCTTCGCAAGAGACGTTCTTTGTAAACACACTGCACACAGTCAGGTATTTCATAATCTAAACCAACAAAAACATGATTAATAATTCTGATAACATGCCAGATGAAATAGACTCGGTAACTGCGATGATGTATTCACTGTTTTGTTTATTTTTCTGACAATGTTAGCTGAACCAGCGAATATTCCAGCGTTTTCCATTCTCTTCACTCTTTAGCCTATCAAACAACACATAAACCTTTTAAAACTGTACTTTACAACAAATGCTTATATTTATGGGGAGTTGATAGACTCTCTTGTCATTTATTTATCGCACACACTGTATATGCACTCTTTATGACTTATTGATGTAGAAGTGTGTTTTGTTTTGTATGTAAGGAGGGAGTGAAAATACAAAAATTACATTATTTAAAAAGTGTTAAATAAAACAATAAATAAATATATATCGGTTACATAAACATGCAAATAATTGGTATCGGTATCGGTTATAAAACAAATCAATATTGGTCGATCTCTAAATGTAACGATCGCTTATATTTACAGTGCAAAATTATTATTCTTTAAAAAAGAATAATGTATTTAAATGTTTATTGTGGCATGACAGGATGCTTTGTAACTCTTCAGTGCACAAGCAAACACTTCCAGAACATTCACACTAAACTAAGATCCACTAAGGTTCATCTGGTCAGGGTTTTTTTCAGCGGGTCTGAATATGCAGTGAAAGAATCAGTCACACAGCAGACAGCATGTGCTTCTGACTCACTGCACTACTGCTGAAACACTCACAAACACCACAGCCGTACAAAACGCTCCATGCTCACAATAAACATATCATTAGTTCAGATATTATATAGCTATTCAACTATGTATCTAATAACTCAAGATTATACAAGGTAAAAAAAATATGTACTCAACACAGTCTTGTTTCTTTACCCAAATTCACTAAAGCAAGCTTACAATATTAATTTACATTTTGAGCTGTCAGGTTTTTTTTGTGGTGAATTCCAGGGTTACGTCACTAGATCTCATGTGTTTATGTCATGTCTGTAACCACTCTAAACAGAGACGTTTGTTGATCTCACTGTAAATCACCTATTGCCAACCGGTGCCAAAACCACAGTGGCAGATATAATGCCTATTTGCTCGTAGGATGTTTTTGCTTCTGTAAGCTTAAAGGCACACTATGCAGGAATTCCGTTTTTGTCAAACAGCGCCCCCTAAAGTCGCTGTGGAGGACTTGTATTTAACGTTACTGTCGTAAATACCACTCACGCAGAGCGTCTCTGCACTCACGGCCTGATACCCCTTTGAAGCTGTTATACTAAGGTACAAATCTTGCATAATGTGCCTTTAATCACTGGAATGTTTTTTTTTTTTGTTTATTGAAAGTGTTTTTTATTTCAGCTGAATTTCAGAGAAGATAAGGCAACGTTTTTTAGCACAATTCACTTCCAGCGGTAATGCAGGGGAAAAAAATATCCGAATGCTCCACGTGAACTTCGGTCTTCCGATCTTTTACGATCGTGTCAATTCTCAATTGATTTTGATTAATATGCGCGAGGGAGCGAGAGAGAGCAAGACAGTTTGAAGACAGTGAACCACCGGCCCAAAGTTGCAAGTGTGGTTTTTCCGCTCACAGGCACCGGGGTGGGGCGAGACGGCCACCATTCAACCCGAAAAACATCATATAACCATTCCAATAACTCTGAAGCTGTTCAGTTAAGCTAAAAAAAAACCCGCTTATCTACACAGAAAAAAGTTTTTACTGTCAGCGTGCAGGTAACCATGAGCACTACTCTGATAGTGACATGTAGTTTCATGGATCAGCCACAGATGGCAATAGAGAGGCCAAACTTCTGTGGCGCAGGTTGAATATTCATGATTCACAGCAGGCCAATCTAAACTAGTGTGTTGAGAGATGAGCGTGTTGAGGACCGAGCGTGTTGAGGATTGAGCGCGTTGAGGACTGAGTGTGCTGAGGACAGAGGGTGTTGAGGACTGAGGGTGTTGAGGACAGAGGGTGTTGAGGACTGAGGGTGTTGAGGACTGAGCGTGTTGAGGACTGAGCGTGTTGAGGACTGAGTGTGTTGAGGACTGAGGGTGTTGAGGACTGAGGGTGTTGAGGACTGAGTGTGCTGAGGACAGAGGGTGTTGAGGACTGAGCGTGTTGAGGACTGAGCGTGTTGAGGACTGAGCGTGTTGAGGACTGAGGGTGTTGAGGACTGAGGGTGTTGAGGACTGAGGGTGTTGAGGACTGAGCGTGTTGAGGACTGAGGGTGTTGAGGACTGAGCGTGTTGAGGACTGAGGGTGTTGAGGACTGAGTGTGTTGAGGACTGAACGTGTTGAGGACTGAGCGTGTTGAGGACTGAGCGTGTTGAGGACTGAGGGTGTTGAGGACTGAACGTGTTGAGGACTGAGCGTGTTGAGGACTGAGGGTGTTGAGGACTGAGCGTGTTGAGGACTGAGGGTGTTGAGGACTGAGAGTGTTGAGGACTGAGCGTGTTGAGGACTGAGCGTGTTGAGGACTGAGGGTGTTGAGGACTGAGAGTGTTGAGGACTGAGCGTGTTGAGGACTGAGCGTGTTGAGGACTGAGGGTGTTGAGGACTGAACGTGTTGAGGACTGAGTGTGTTGAGGACTGAGCGTGTTGAGGACTGAGCGTGTTGAGGACTGAGGGTGTTGAGGACTGAGAGTGTTGAGGACTGAACGTGTTGAGGACTGAGCGTGTTGAGGACTGAGCGTGTTGAGGACTGAGGGTGATGAGGACTGAGAGTGTTGAGGACTGAGCGTGTTGAGGACTGAGTGTGTTGAGGACTGAACGTGTTGAGGACTGAGCGTGTTGAGGACTGAGGGTGTTGAGGACTGAGTGTGTTGAGGACTGAGCGTGTTGAGGACTGAGCGTGTTGAGGACTGAGCGTGTTGAGGACTGAGTGTGTTGAGGACTGAGCGTGTTGAGGACTGAGTGTGCTGAGGACTGAGGGTGCTGAGGACTGAGGGTGTTGAGGACTGAGGGTGTTGAGGACTGAGTGTGTTGAGGACTGAGTGTGCTGAGGACTGAGGGTGCTGAGGACTGAGGGTGTTGAGGACTGAGGGTGTTGAGGACTGAGTGTGTTGAGGACTGAGCGTGTTGAGGACTGAGCGTGTTGAGGACTGAGTGTGCTGAGGACTGAGGGTGTTGAGGACTGAGGGTGTTGAGGACTGAGGGTGTTGAGGACTGAGTGTGCTGAGGACAGAGGGTGTTGAGGACTGAGGGTGTTGAGGACTGAGAGTGTTGAGGACTGAGTGTGCTGAGGACAGAGGGTGTTGAGGACTGAGGGTGTTGAGGACTGAGTGTGCTGAGGACAGAGGGTGTTGAGGACTGAGGGTGTTGAGGACTGAACGTGTTGAGGACTGAGGGTGTTGAGGACTGAGGGTGTTGAGGACTGAGTGTGCTGAGGACTGAGGGTGTTGAGGACTGAGGGTGTTGAGGACTGAACGTGTTGAGGACTGAGGGTGTTGAGGACAGAGGGTGTTGAGGACTGAGGGTGTTGAGGACTGAGTGTGCTGAGGACAGAGGGTGTTGAGGACTGAGGGTGTTGAGGACTGAACGTGTTGAGGACTGAGGGTGTTGAGGACTGAGGGTGTTGAGGACTGAGCGTGTTGAGGACTGAGTGTGCTGAGGACAGAGGGTGTTGAGGACTGAGGGTGTTGAGGACTGAACGTGTTGAGGACTGAGGGTGTTGAGGACTGAGCGTGTTGAGGACTGAGGGTGTTGAGGACTGAACGTGTTGAGGACTGAGGGTGTTGAGGACTGAGAGTGTTGAGGACTGAGTGTGCTGAGGACAGAGGGTGTTGAGGACTGAGTGTGCTGAGGACTGAGTGTGCTGAGGACTGAGGGTGTTGAGGACAGAGGGTGTTGAGGACTGAGGGTGTTGAGGACTGAGTGTGTTGAGGACTGAGTGTGCTGAGGACAGAGGGTGTTGAGGACTGAGGGTGTTGAGGACTGAACGTGTTGAGGACTGAGGGTGTTGAGGACTGAGCGTGTTGAGGACTGAGGGTGTTGAGGACTGAACGTGTTGAGGACTGAGGGTGTTGAGGACTGAGAGTGTTGAGGACTGAGTGTGCTGAGGACAGAGGGTGTTGAGGACTGAGGGTGTTGAGGACTGAGTGTGCTGAGGACAGAGGGTGTTGAGGACTGAGGGTGTTGAGGACTGAACGTGTTGAGGACTGAGTGTGTTGAGGACTGAACGTGTTGAGGACTGAGCGTGTTGAGGACTGAGCGTGTTGAGGACTGAGGGTGTTGAGGACTGAGGGTGTTGAGGACTGAGCGTGTTGAGGACTGAGCGTGTTGAGGACTGAGGGTGTTGAGGACTGAGAGTGT